CTGTTGCCTTCAAGTCAACCTGGTCATTCTCTTCTGACCTCTTAACATTAACAAGGCATTTTCTACCAAGGAAGTGTTGCTGAGTGGTACTTTCACTTTTTCAGGCCATTCTCAGTAAACCCTAGAGATGGTTGTGTGGGAAACTCGCAGCAGATCTGCAGTTTCTGAAATACTCAGACCAGCCTGTCTGGCACAAATAACAATGCCACATTGTGAGTCACTGAAATCAGCGCTCTTCTATTAATTCTGATGCTCAGTTTGAATTTCAGCAGGTCGTCTTGACCGTGTCTACATGCCTAAATGCAATGAGTTGCTGCCACTTGATTGGCTGGCTAGGTATTTGTGTTAATAAGCATTTAAACAAGTGTACCAAGGAAGTGTTTTTCTTTTATTTATTTTCTCTTTTCATTCTCCGAACCTTCCTTCGATTTAACATATCATTTTTGTGTATAAAACGGATGCATGATAAGGTGAAGCGTTAAAGTACGGTTTTGTTACAGCAAAGACTTACATGTCTTGCAAAATTCGACACCTCGTACTGTTGAAAGCCGTGCTGGTGCAGAGTCTTCCTGGCGCGCTGGTACATTTCTGCTGTCACATCCTCGGAGGGCATCGTCACTGCACCGCACTCAACCTGTTTAAAAAGCTGAGTGCCTCGCTCCAGGGTCAGCTGGTACAGAGACACGTGATCATCACACACCCTCAGCAGCTCAGACAACTCTATTTCCCAGGATTCAACGGTTTGTTTGGGACGTCCGAACATGACATCCACCGACACCCGACCAGGGCACAGCCTCCTGGCCTCTTCGATAGTCTGCAAAGCCTTGTGGGAGTCGTGGTCTCTTCCCAGACTTTTCAAGTCCTCATCCTGCAAAGACTGAAGATAGAAAGTTTGATCAGAGTTGTTCCATAAAATGAAAAAAGTTCTCACCTTACCCTTTCAGAATCAAATTATTAATGCAATTTTCAGAGTTACATCACCTCATAATACATATAAGTGGGTCAACATTTTTGAATTGTGTTATTTTTCCAATATTATCGAGTCAGGAGATAGACAGATGGAAAGATTAAGCTCTGAAAACACATTTAAGCTCTGTTCCAACTGAAATCTACAATATAAAATCCAAATTGCAATTTTCATTGCATGCAATTTCATGTCTATGATGCAGAGCAAAAGAAACAAGCACTGGTACCCTAGATGTGTGATTTGGACCTGACAGGACTAAACTTCAAAAAGTGCGTTTTAAATAAATGTCATCACACAGAAGAGGGAATTTTAAAAAAAACATGAACACAATGATAGGCCTTGAGTGTAACGTTGCAACCAACCACTAAATGCTTTGAGTAAAACAGCTGGAAGGCCCTGCTTTTCCATGGGCTTTCATGAGCACCCGAGGATTACGCTCACCTGGACCCCGATGGAAAATCGGTTCACCCCGGCACGGCAATAGTCCTCTAACCTGGACTTTCCCGCAGGAGTGGGGTTGACTTCGAGGGTGACCTCGGCCTCATCCGAGAGATTCACCTGCCTGGAAACAGTCTCGAGGATCGCAGCAAAGATGGAGGGGTGGGCCAGGCTTGGAGTCCCACCTCCAAAGAACACTGAGGTGATGCTACAAATGAAAACCAGAGTGTGATCTCAGCTGCAGTTTACAGTTACTGATTGTCAGGTTTAATAAATGCACATACCAGGATACTTGACTGAGTCGCAGCAGTGTCTCAGTCTCCATCTGAAGGCACTTAGTCATGATATGGTCATTGTTCTCTTTGGATATGTACTTATTGAAATTGCAGTAGGAGCACCTCCTGAGACAGTAAGGCCACTGGGGGAGGAAGAACCTTATAGTCATGACACAGCCCACTTATGCTTAAATCAGGTGAGTCAACATGCAGTTACGGATACATGTGCGCGTGATGTTCTCAGAAAAAGAAGCTATAACTCACGTGCACATAAAGAGACGCGCGCTCTGTGATTTGTGGAGAAGCCGCACATTCAGACACATCTTCGGTTACTTCTCCGACCGAGAAGTGCTGCAGTCGGGGAGGGAGGACACGACTGACCGCATTTAATGTGCGTCTCATCATTTTGGAGACAGCGTTTGTTTCGCCACGGGAGATTACATTCTCCGACCCGAACCAGAGGTTACTTCAATACCCGGCTTCATCACTCAAACGGTATGCGTTTCTGTGACAACAAAGTAGCTACAAAATAGCGTAAATTCACTTTGTATTTACGCTATTTGAAGGTGCCGTCAAGTCGCTCCAACCGGAAATACATGGAGCGATTTCCTCTTCATGTTCCCGGTTTGGCCACAGCGGGGCGCTGTTTTACCACAGTAAGAAATACCCGAAGCACAAGAGGGTCAGCCAGGTTTTTAGGTTTGCAACATTTGCTTTTGGTGAAAAATATGTATTTTCACACAACATCTTTTCCAGTTTTACCCAAAACGTGAAAACGTTGCAGCGGTAAGGATTTAAATATATTCTAACGCTAAAGTAGAAATGGAAAGAAACTCCTTGAACTCTTGGGATTTATTATATAACCATGTATGACCTTTACAACCATTAAACACTACGATCAATGTTATGTCATAACAAATCTCTGTAAGTACCATCTTCAGTTATCATTATTATCGCAACATTAATGAACTCCTTGCTTGTGTGGGACTTGCACATGTGTTATGTAACTATGAGACTATCAAAATGAATTATTTCTTTGTTTTTCTTTTCTTTTCTTTTTTTTGACATTTCAGGTCTAACTGTAATACACTCATATTTATATAGCATTTTCCACTCTAACCACTCAAAGTGCCTTTAAACTTCATACTGAATGGCCCTAGCCAGGATTTAACCAGGAACCCTCTCTCTGTGAAGTGAAATTGGTAATCATTGGCATCAAGGCACTCTTTGACCTCTGCTTGTCATGTAGGGTTATATATTATAACTCCTATTCTTTCTTTGCACTAACCTGGTCAAATGTGGCCCTTGAACTCTGTCACCACCACCCCATAACAGACAAGGCACACACAGTTTTGAAGTTTCAAGAGTCCCTAAAATTCATAGTTTTCCTTGATTTTACTAATGGTAGTGAATCTGAAATACATTTGGATAGATACAGGTCAAATCTGACCCCAAATAGACTCACTATATATAAAATTTGCAAAAGAATCAAACAGTATTAAATATTTATAACACGTAGGGTATTTTTGCTGTTGTCAAAGTTTAAAATGGTTCAAATTTGACAACATGCTGGAAGGTGAATAGTACTGTTAGTACGTATTCTATGATTTAGAGGCTGATTTTAGGCTATTTCTGATTAAAATATGATTTATATGGGCCTTATATTGAAAATGATGCAGTTTATTTAGGAGCCTATGAATCATAAGTAATCTTTGTTGGGCACACCTGTTCAACTGCTTGTTATTACTTCTAGGCTGAACTACATTCAGCATTATCAAGATGTCCTAAAACTCTCTGAAAAGGTTTCAGCTGATCCAAAATGCTGCAGCAAGAGTTCTGACAGGGTCCAGAAAGAGACAGCTTGTCTTCATTGGCTCTCTATTAAATCCAGAATCGAATTTACAATTCTGATCCTATCATAAAAGGTCTTGAATACTCAGCCCCCACTTTATCTTAAAAACCTCACAGTACTCTATCACCTCTACAATGCTCTACAATGCTCACCAATGCTCTACAATGCTCACCTCTACAATGCTCTGAGACATTGGGAGACAGGCACACTCTCTACTTTTAAGATTAGGCTTAAAACTTTTTTTTAAGGCTTAAAGTTTATAGTTAGGGCTGGATCAGATAACCCTCAGTCCTAATGTAAACCTTCCCTTTGTGGGAAGGCTGCTTGGGGATTCCCACAATGCTCAGTGTTTCTTCTTAATTTACCTTTTTAAGTGTTTATACATCACTCAGCATTTAATCATGAGTCATTATTAATATCTGGTTCTCTTCCACAGCGTGTCTTTATGCTGTCTTCCTACCCTCACTCCCAACTGGTTGCGACAGATAGCTGTACCTCCCTGAGCCTGGTTCTGCTGGAGGTTTATTCTTCCTAAAATGAAGTTTTTCCTCTCCTGTCACCAAAGCCATAGCTCATGGGTTCATATGATTGCTGGGGTTTTCCTCTGTTTTCTCTGTATTATTGTATGGTCTTTACCTTACAATATAAAGCGCTTTAAAGCTAGAGTTGTTGTGATTTGGCAATGTATATAATTGAATTGAATAATACAAATATCTGGCACCAACTCAGTGGACCGACACATGTAACCATAGTCAAGACAACCTAGAGAATTTCAAGGGTATGGTTGGGCTGATCCACTGGTAGATTATGTGGGAATTCTTATGAGCATAGCTGATACATTAAATAAAGACACAAGTCTATATTTGGAAAATAAATGTGTGTCCCACTAACACACGATGAAACGAACTAATGAGATATTGATTTTTCCGAAGCCTAGCACACAGACAGTAACACAGCCTAGAACAGCTGCTTTAAAAACGGATTATTTTTTAACTAAAGATTAAAAATATAAATCAGGATTATAGGCAATAAATGTCTTCATCATTTTGATATGACTGCAATCATGGATCCATGTCGGTGCTACTCATCATCAGATGAGTGTGATCCTCACTTGATAATTCAAATCAAAACAAATAACGCATGCATGTATACCTGCTCTCATTTTGTTGCCATGATGCCAGGTCTCTCTTGGAAATGAGATTTTTAATCTCAATGAGATTTTTACCTGGATAAATAAAGGATTAATAATAATAAAATTTACTGCAATATAATTTCCAAAATAAGACAGTGTTCATACATTCAATCAGTAATAAATCTAAAGCTTTAATTACACATAGATTAATATTAATGTCAATAAATGTGAATATGTTCACTGCCAGCTTCCAGCCCTGAGGTCATTTTCCACTTAATGTAAAATCTAGTGACCAGTTATCTAATCAGCAGATACAGTGAGGCAGACAGAGGGAGAGACGAGAAACACACAGGAATATATTTTCACCGAACTCAAATGTGTGAAGTCGGTTCAAGGAAAGGTTTTAATAATTTCCAAATTTAAAAAAAACAAACAAACTACTGAATCTGTGATGTGAAGCTGCCAAATGGATACAAGGAAGAAAGGTAGGCTTTCCATTAACCATGAAAACATGACAAAGAAAGGATTTGATGTGGTTTCTCTTTGCTCTAGGCACAAAGGCACAAAGGGGAATATTCTCAAGTTGCATGTCAGGCAGGGACTGTGGGAAAATACCTAAAGGTGGAGAAGGAGGAGTTGAACCTTGGGTTTAACTTTAACAATAAAAATCAAACTACCCTACTTACTGTTAGATTTTACTGCACACATGTACCATAAGTTATGTTCAGAAAGTAGGATGAACCAGACACATGCACACACAGCCCTTTTCAAACATGCTTTGCATTGCATTGATATCAGAAAAAGTATAAAATAAGACAAACACAAACAATATGGTGTTAATGATGTTAATTGCTGATATTGTAGCTTCTTTTGACATTTTTTTTTATTGTTTTCTGAGTTTATTACACACTTAAAAAATATATCTTTATCAATCTGATCCCAATTGAATTTCTGTTTGTTTTTTTTTTAATTTTTAAAGGTGGTGCCATAGAATTAAGGCTCATGGTGGTTGGTAGCAGTGGACCTTCTCAGTTCCTACTAACCAATTCCATACTTGGGAGACAGGTGTTTTCTAAGGATGTCACCAGCCTTTCTGGCAGCATAAAGAACAACGGTGAGCTGGCTGGTAGACGAGTGGCAGTGATCAATGGACCAAACATCTATGATAAGGATATATCTAAACCTAAGAGGAAGATGGAGCTAAGGAGGTCCAAGTGCTTATGTATACCTGGTCCCCATGCATTTCTTGTTGCCTTTGACATGGAGAAAATCTCCCCCAATGATGTGAGAACCTCCAGACTGATGAGGGAACGCTTTGGAAGACACTGTCTGAGACACGCCATGGTCCTCCTGGCCTATGAAGGAAATCAGAATAGAGCTGCCTTGGAAGATAGGGTGAAGAAGACAGATTGGCATCTGCGAGAACTCATCGAGAAGTACGGTGGACGCTTTCACCTTTTCAACAAGAACTGGAGAGATCGAAGTCAGGACAGAGAGCTGTTGAAGAAGATAGAGCTGATGGTTGCCTCGTTAGGAGGAGGCTACTTCTCCAGCAGAACTTTCCAGAAGGCAGAGGACTGTGTAAAGAAGGAGGAGAATAAGCTTAGGAAGCAGCGAGCAGCAGAGATAGAGAAGGCATGGGCTGAGATGGAAAGCAATACATGGAAGAGGAGCTGTACTTCCAGAAGGATGCCTATACGGCTAATATTGGCGCAGAGATTAGAGCTCAAGCGGAGATCGACAACAGCTGGCTCAGGACGTCCCTAGTCAGAGGCCTGGGGACGGGTTTTGTTGTGGGGGCTGTGATGGGTGCGCTGGCCGGGTCTATAGAGGGCCAGGAGGGATGGTTCTCTATGGGATCATAGGTGGTGCAGTGGGTGGATCAGCAGGGGGAACAGCACAGGTGGCAATAAAGCATATGGACAACAGAATGGCCCCGACTGCCAGACTGAACTTCAACTCAATCTTTATTAACCGCTTCTTTGCAGCTCCTCGTACATGACAAAGGGAACTGACTGATGACCTGATGAAAATAAAAAACTTACTCTTTGTATCCAACTTCTGGTTAGGTAGCTTTCTGACTTACTTGATAACAAACTAGATAGCCGTCTTAAGCCCTCTTTCATCTCAAGAACATACGTGTAGTACGAGACTATTTCGACAGAAAACTTGAAAGGTTTCCAGTGGCATCAATTCAAACTGTGACAACCAGTTTAAACTATAAATAGGCCTATTATAAATAAATGAAGCTGTGATTTTAGCACATTTATAGCAGATTTGTGTGAACACTTTATATTTTATTCAACCTCCACCTCTTCCTGGTGCCTTGCTGTGGATTAGTTGAAGTGCAACTCAAATAACATGTAGGGCGGAGTCTTAGCTGAACACGCCATTGTCTAAAGCGCTGCCACTTTCCTAGACAATCCACATACCTCAGTACACCTGTTCAGTGTGAACCAGTGAAGTTTCTGTGTATTATTAACTAAATTAACAAGTACAAGCCATACAGACACCGCTCCTACCCAGAAAAGATCGACTAAGTAAAGGTAAGATCACATTTCCTTTAATACTTTTTAACAAACGTGTCTGTTTTCACAAAGTTACCTGTGTGCTGATTTCATGTTAGTCCTCTCAATCTTTTATGGCCATGTTGCATAATCGTAAACTGTTTCCTATGTTACAAGGGAGTACAAGGGAGTCTGAACTGAGGATTGCACATTACATTAAAACGATCTTGAGAATTTAGTGAGTTCATTTTTGTTTTGAGTAGTAGCTTCCTCATGACACAAGAAAACTATTTGGCAAATACCAGTTTGACTGCATATTTTGCTGCCTCTGTTTGTTATCTATCTGCTGGTGCTCACACTGGCTGTGACAGTGGCAATCAAAACACGCAGAGATAGAAAGAGATAACGGGGTAAAGTTCAACAGCAGGGCATTAAAGTATAATCATGTCCAGTTGTTTCTGCCTCTTTAGTCTGTGTAGAATGAGAGTAATCCATTCTGTATGAGAACACAATGTTAAACATGACGCCCTGAATTCCAGTGAAAATATTTCTGCCATGAGTAAATCCGCCTTCTCTCACGCGAAATGTGAGCTGAATCCTGAATTTTTACTGTTGTTTAATAAGCATGGATTTTAAAGTCAAACCTTAAGTATCTGTGTCTAAAATCTTGGGTTGTGGTGTACTAAGGTGTCTGAAGTGTGATTAGAAAATATCCCACAGGTCATTGCACCAACACCACCAACCTGAACTGTTGATGCAAGGGAGTGCGGATCCATGCTTTTGTTTACTCCAAATTCTGATTCTAACATCTGAACATGGCAGCAAAGTGAAACTGAGAGTCATTTGTCCAGTCTTTTATTGTCTAATGTTGGTGATCCTGTGCAAACTGTAGCCTCCGTTTCCTGTTCATGGTTTACAGAAGTGGCACCTGGTGTGGTCTTCTGCTACTGAAGCCCATCTGCTTCAAGGAGATGCTCTTTTGCATACTTTGGCTGTAAAAAGTAGTTATTTGAGTTATTGTTGCCTTCCTTGAAGCAGTCTGGTCATTCTCCTCTGACCTCTCACTGGATACAATCTCTTTTTCAGACCATTCTCTGTAAAGCCTAGAGATGGTTGTGCAGGAAAACCCCAGTAGCCCAGGGTGATTCTCTCCCAAGTACTATGCTACATCGAATGTCATTTAAATTGCGTTCTTCCCCATTCTTATGCTCAGTTTCAACTTCACATCATTCTGACTATTTCTACATGCCTAAATGTATGAGTTGCTGCTATGTGATTGGCAGATTAGATATTTATGTTAACGAGCAATTAAACGGACTCACCTAACAAAGTGGCCAATCAATGTATGACTAATACACTTGAAAATTCATAAAACATACGATAAGCATCTTGTAATATGAGTAACAGTGACTAGTACTTTTGATACTTGTGTACCGTCATAGTGCGCAAGTAAAATCCTGGATGCAGGATTGAGCATTTACACAATTATGTGTTAAAAACACAAATCTACTTTATAGTACTTTATAGTACTTTTAAGTTTGGACTGTTAACAAGATGGTTTCATTGCATTTGTTTATCAAACGACTTCTGTTGGCACTTCTCACTTACTCTTAGGTATCACTTTTGGTTTAGTCTTTGCTTTACTATTCAAACACAACACTCCCTTAAAAGACTTCGATATGCACAGCAGGAAAAAGCTCTGTTTCTTACTTTTTCTGACATAATTTCTTTTTCAGATCATGGCCTCTACCATCTGCTTGCTCCCTGAAAAGCACTTCTTGTGCTTTCTGTGTAGGACATCTTCACCAGCCCCGTAACCATACCATGTGGACACAGCTTTTGCTTGTCCTGCCTGTCCAAATACTGGACACGACATCAGTTGAAATACTGCCCTCACTGCAGGAGACTGTTCACAGACAAGCCTGATCTCAGTGTCAACCACATACTGGCAGACATATCTGAAAACTACAGGAAGTCTCGACCACAGAAACCACCAGATGAGGAAACGGTACTCTTTTGTCTGTTATCTAATAACAGGTAATCTAATCTAATAAATCTAGTGTATTTTTGTGTGCTGATGCAAATCGTTTGCACATTCACAGGTTATAGATGTTAACCAAATGATTCAGGAAAGGGTGCAGAAGATAGAAAGACTGAAATACTCTCTCGGGCTACAAAAGGTGAGTGGAAATATCTATAAAATTTAAACATGTATAACATAATTTATATTTTTTCTTTATTTTCCTTTGATCTGTACATCATTAAATGATGTTGCTGTCCAATCAGAACTCTTACCTCAGAGAGGTGCGAGAGAGTCAGAAGATCTTCTCTGCACTTGTAAATGCTATGGAGAAGAGCCATAAAGCTGTTGTTGCTGCAATTGAGGAGAGGCAGAGAGAAGAGGAGAGCAAGGTAGAAACACTGGTCAAAGAGATCGAACAGGAGATTGAGGAGCTGAGGAAGGAGACCAAAGAACCGGACCCTCAGATCTCTGGTGATCAGAGTGACGACTTGAAGCGACCTGCCAAGGTAAGTTATCTCCATCTACTGCCAAATGCATGATGATGATGATGTGATTTGAAGCATAATTGTAAAATCTTTCCAACACTGCGAATGCTATTTAGCCCTGTGAGATGAAGGACTGGTCCAAGGTTACCATAGAAACTGATCCTTGTATTGGAGTCACCAGAAGAGCACTGTCAGACGTGTTGGAACAAATAAAGTTAGAAGTCAACAGACTCTCCAAAGCTGGTGGGTGGTGCTGTTTTAATCTTGCGTGCATCATATCAATCTTAAAAGATAAATTCATTGACATTCTTTTTTTTCCCCTGTTGTTCATTTTTAGAACTTAAGAGAATCGAGAAATACTCAGGTAAGGTTCTCGCTGTGCAGAAATACATTTTATCAACTTTACAAAAATGATTAGGGATTGAAGATTATTTTTGTGGATAATATCAAAAATATAACCATAATTCAGCTTCATTTTGAGTTCAAAATTTAACTGCATGAATTTTCAGCTGTTGTGAATAGCTGAAAATGAACGAGCACTGTTTGACTAATTCTTGACTTTTGCTCTTTTCTCCTTCTTTGCTCTTTTTTCTTTTAGTGGATGTTAACCTAAGTGCTAAAACAGCAAACCCTTTCCTTTGGGTCTCAGATGACAGAAAGCAGGTGAGGCACACGGATAAGCTTCAGGAAGTACCGGAGAACCCCAAGAGTTTGACAGAGTGGGAAATGTTCTGGCCAAAGAAAGCTTCGCTGGCGGAGGTGCTACTGGGAAGTGGAGGTTGGGAGAAGATAGAATGGGCCCTAGGTGTTGCCAGACAGTCCGTAAACAGGAAAGGCAAGTTCACAGTGTGCCCTGCAAATGGTTTCTGGACCTTAAGCCTGAAAGCTGGAGGCCAGTACATTGCAAACACCTCTCCTGTCACCCAGTTGGCTCTAGACCAACGACCCAAGAAGTTTGGAGTGTTTCTGGATTACAACGAAGGTCGTGTGTCCTTCTACTGCGCAGACTCTGGAGTCCACATTCAGACCTTCACGGATAAGTTCACAGATCGGCTCCATCCATTCTTCTGTCCTGGTCGCATGCATGGAGGCAGAAATGCAGCTCCTCTAGTCATCTGCTCAAGTTTTGCAACATCTAAACCTCATTCCAGTTTAAAAAGAGTTACTTGTTGGTTCTTGTTATCTCCTTAATATTTATCTAGCGTGATTAATGTGTTTATTTATTTACAAAGCTATTGAACAATGAGCCACATTTCCCTGTCAGAGCAGGCTACTGAACAAGATGGTGCAAAAGGACTACGTCAGTACACTTGAAAACTTCAATGAAACGCATAAACAGACTGAAAAAAGAAAAAAGTGTGGCAGTAAATAATAGATGGCTGTCATAAATGAACAAGTGAGTGAAAGTAGAAAAAAGAGGATTGCTGAGTTGGATGATGCGCGGGGCTGCAGGGTTGGGACAGAGGTTGACGAGAAGCAGGGAAAGCGGGGGGAGGGCACAGTAAAACAGCAGGGCATTGTGCCCGTACACCAGGCACTGGGAGACACACTCAAACACATTCACGCATTCACACACCGACACAGTCGTGCACAGAAGTGCGTGCTTCAGCCCACCGCCACACAGACACACTGGCATCTCGCAGGGCAGCCCCATCTCCAGTCCTGTCCTGGTGTTGGAGCTGAGAGACAGAGAGCCTCCCCTGCTCTCTGGCCTTCCTGTTGACTGAACTGAATTCTCAGGGCTGTCATTCA